AGAAATGTTAGCACAGAGTAGAGGCTCAGATGATGATAGGGAATACAGACAGATAGGGAATACAGACAGAGAAGGAATCGAGAGCCCAGTACAGAGAATAGGAGACAAGTGATAGCACAGAGTAGAGCCTCAGGTGAAGATAGGAGGGAATATAGACAGAGTAGAAGGAATCTAGAGCCAAGTGCAGAGGAAAGGAGACAAATGATAGTTCATGGAGAAGGTTCAGATGCAGAATAAGGGTGCCTGGGGGCTCCACTAGATCTAAAGAAGCCCATTAGAATAACCCCCTCAGAGCCCCGGGTAACACTCGCTCTGGGGGATCATCTGATTGCTTTCTTGGTGGACACTGGAGTGACATACTCAGTTTTGAATTCAAAATTAACTAAAATGAGCAAAGAGACTGTAGCAGTCACTGGAATTATGGGAAGGCCACAACAGAACGCCTTCTTACAACCTTTGGAGTGCCGGCTGGGCACCACACAGCTCCAGCATAGCTTCCTATAAATGTCCAATCCCTCTGCTTGGTCGTGATCTTTTAAGTAAGCTCAACACATGAATTATATTCTCACCAAAACATCAGAGGCTTCACCTACAGGTACTTCCAGAGCAGGCTCTGCGGTTCCAGATGTTACTTACTCAAGATGTTCCACCGAAAGGTGAACTTTTACCACCAGAAATTGTTGAAAGAGTAAGTAAATGGGTATGGGCTGATGGGACCCCAGGACATGCGAAACATGCAGAGCCTGTAAAGATAGAAGTGATAGAGGAGAGCAAAACCCCAAGGAGGAAGCAATACCCCTTAAAGGAGGAGGCATTGTGGGAAACTGAGCCAGTATTGAAAAGGTTCCTTCAATCTGGACTCATTCGGCCCTGCTGCTAACCATACAACACCGTACAACACCATACAATTCTGCCAGTGAAGAAACCCCGTACAGGCGAGTACCATTTTGTCCAAGATTTAAGGGCCATTAATGACATTGTTCAGGATTTACATCCCACCGTGCCTAATCCCTACACCTTATTAACTGCCATACCTGGTGACTTCGGGTGGTTTTCAGTATTAGACCTTAAGGATGCCTTTTTCTGTATCCCAATAGATGCCCAGGATCAACTGCTTTTTGCCTTTGAGTGGCAAGACCCTAAGAGCACTCTCCAGTATTGCTGGACTGTGCTTCCACAGGGGTTTAAGAACTCCCCAACTATTTTTGGGGAAATACTGGCCAGCCAGGGATCTCAGGAAGGTTCAATTAAACCAGGGCATCAAAGTCCCCAGCAACCGGCGACAGTTGCGCAAATTTTTGGGTATGGCTGGGTTTTGCAGGATTTGGATTCCTATCTTTGGATTAATTGCAAAACCCTTATATGATGCTCTCAAAGGCCTGGACTCTGAATCTTTGTCTTGGACCCCAGAATGTCAAAAGGACTTTGATGAAATAAAAGTAAAGTTGATCTCAGCACCAGCATTAGGGCTTCCAGATCTTAGGAAGCCATTCAGACTTTATGTACATGAGAGACAGGGGGTTGGCCTTGGAGTGCTAATCCAATTGTTGGGGCCAGAAATGCAGTCTGTTGCATATATGTCCAAACAATTGGACCACACCACTAAGGGATGGCCTCCATGTTTGCATGCCGTAGCTGCCACTTGTGACCTCCTACACAAGTCAGAGAAGTTTACATTGGGTCAGCCCATCACTGTGTGTGTGCCACATCAGGTCTTGACATTGCTGGAGCAGAAGGGTGGACTTTGCTTGACTGCCGGGAGAATGGGAAAATATCAAGCAGCTCTGTTGGACAATCCTAATGTGAAGCTGCAGGTTTCTAATTCCCTGAATCCCGCCACACTGCTTCCAAGCAATGCAGACGGACTTGAGGATGACACTTTAATCCATAACTGTTTAGAAACCATAGACACAGTGTATGCCAGCCGACCAGATCTGACTGACCAGTCTCTGCCAGATCCAGAGTGGGAGCTATTTACAGATGGCAGCAGCTTCATGAACCAAGGCCATCGATGTGCTGGATACACAGTGGTGACGCTCTAGAACACTGTGGAGGCCAAGGCTCTTCTGGCAGGTACATCAGCGCAAAAGCTGAATTAATAGCCCTGACCCGTGCATTGGAACTCTCAAAAGGTAAAAGAGTCAATATATTTACTGACTCCAAGTACTCTTTTATGATTCTCCACATGCATGGGGCCATTTGGAAGGAGCGGGGACTTCTTACTGCCAGTAACAAGGATGTCAAACACCCATTAGAAATCCTGGCCCTGTTAAAGGCAGTAGCTTTACCATCAGCTGTTGCTGTGATGCATTGTCCTGGCCACCAAAAGGGTGAGTCTGACATGGCAAAGGGCAACAGGGCAGCCGATCGGGTGGCTAAGGCGGCTGCCCGTTCTGCCCATTCTGCCCTCCAGGGTGCACTCATCCCTCTTGTGGCCCTGACTCAGTATGCTCCTGAATACACAGAGTGGGAGGAGGAGAGAGCTCGTGCATGGGGATTTACTGAGTTTGACCCCAGTTCCACTTGGAGAGTAAACTCCCATGGGATGATACTCCTCCCGAAGGCCCTGGTATATCTGGTGCTAAAACATCTTCACGAAGGATCTCACTATGGGAGAGATGCCTTATTAGAAACAGTGCGCCCATATTTGAAGGGCCCTTATTTACACAAAATAGCAAGGGATTACCCGGGGTTCTTCTACTATGTGCCAGGAATAACCCCAAGACTCCCACCCTAAAGCCATTGGGGTTCAGTATCGGGGCAAGTTCCCTTTGGAGGACTGACAGGTGGACTTAACACAAATGCCTAGAACAACAGGCAACTTCAAATACCTCTTGGTTTTTGTGGACGCGTTCTCAGGATGGGTGGAAGCATTTCCCACAAAGACAAATCTTCCGAGGTTGCAAAACAGCTGCTGAAGGAGATAATCCCTCGCTTTGGGTTGTCCGACTCCATCCAGAGTGATAATGGACCAGCATTTTTCTCTGATGTCACTCATGCAGTAAGCAGTGTGCTACAGATCAACTGGAAATTGCATGCTGCATGGAGACCGCAGTCTTCTGGGCAAACAGAAAAGATGAACCGCGGGCCTCCCCGGTGGCGCATCGGTTGAGCGCTGGGTTGCGAAGCTGCCCACGGTCTCTGCGGCGCCAGTTCGATCCCCGGCTGCTCCCCGGCCACTAGAGGAGGGTCCCACATGGCGTGCAGATCTCTCCTGCCGCCCTCTGCTCCCCTCAGCAGTGAACTTCGGTCCTTCTGCCTGTTCTGCTCCCCACTCTGGCTCTGGTGAATTCTGTCACCCTCCCGCGCTTCTGACTGTACCCAGTGCATGTATAAACAAACAGACAAATAAATCATAAATTAAAAAAAAAAAAAAAGATGAACCACAGCTTGAAGAAAACCTTGGCAAAACTGTGCCAAAAAACACAACTTCGTTGGGACCAGGTACTATCCCTTGCCCTCCTCCGCATAAGAGTGGCACCTAGAAGTGGGCTACAATTAAGCCCCTTAGAAATTGTGTTTGGAAGACCTTTCCAGGCCTCAGTTCTGAAACCCAGTCCGGAAATAGCACAAGATTGCCGGATCACACAATATGTGAACACATCAGGAGGTTCTGGCAGTAATTCACAACTTTGCAGCCTTGAGGATCTCTATGCCTCCTGATCAACCATTGCATCCCTTCAGACCTGGAGATCAGGTCTTACTGAAGACTTGGCAGAGCGGGGATGCTCAAAACCAGCTGTCAAAAAAATGGACTGGTCCCTATGATGTTTTGCTGAGCACACATACTTCTCTGAAACTTGCAGATATAAAACCCTGGGTACATCATTCCAGATTTAAGAAAGCCCCAGGAGGAACTGACCCAGAGACGAAGTCCCAGTGGTCTTGTGAACCCATTGAGGACTTGAGATATTTGTTTAAGAGACAGACAAAAACTTGAATGTTACTGACTTCTTCTCCAGTTATTGTTGCAGGATACCCAAGGACTCACTTTTTCTGAAGAAACCCTGAGAAAACTAACATGCTCTAACCAATCTTCTTCCTTTCAAAGTTTAGGAGATGTGAAATAGCATCCAGGATCACGCATATCGTGGCAGTATATATATTTTTTAACACAGAAAGCTTTTGATCTTGATTTTGGTATTTTCTTTTAACTTTTTGTTTTTAACTTTTGAGTTTTTTTTTTCTTTTCTCTGCTTGTTTTTGTTACTTTGGCCTATGAGTGAAACTGCAGTTGTATGAGATATCCGACATGTGATAAATGGTAACTAAAGAGCTCTTTGTGTCTATATGTTGTATGTATGTATGTCCTTTCCTTGTGTCCTTGTCTTGGCCTCCAGTGGTAGACAAATTGGTATACATAGTGCCCATGCACATTGGGAGGGGGGGAAAGAGTCTCCAGTTATGAGGAAACACAAAAGATGGTTTCATTGTCAACATTGTACTACTGAACTAAGCTGGTGCATTCACAGATATTGAATATTGTTTCTGTTATTTTTCTGATATTTATGGCAAAGCTTCCCAGAAATCTAAATTCAAGTACAAGTTTGGTAGCCTGTCATTTGGCTGATACAAGGAAATTTTGTGGAACCTCAGTAGAGCTCCTGAGACACTCCACAAAGTTTCTCCCTTTCCTCCTGGGAAAGGCGTTAGATGAATTTGTCCTATTTGGCTTTTACCTAATGAAGTAAAACTGGAAGGGAAGCATTGTCACTTGGGGAAACGGGTAACACCTTGACCTGATATGAATGTAAATTGTCAATGGTGATTGTCACCTTGTAATATTGTATACTTCAGTTGTTTAATATCTACAGGAATTGTTTCTGAAAATATAGGGAGAAAAGGGCTCAACAGATTCCTATTGATGGAACTGTTGAGAGTAAAACTTTCCTACTAAGGACTGAATAGACCTGGAAATGCACCTGATATTTACTAAGTTTTCTTTGACATAATACTGGTAATTTTTTTTTTTTTAATTTTTTTTTTTTATTTATAGAGGCATGTTTTATTTATTTATTTGTTTGTTTGTTTTGTTTATACATGCACTGGGTACAGTCAGAAGCACGGGAGGGTGAGAGAATTCACCAGAGCCAGAGCGGGGAGCAGAGCAGGCAGAAGGACCGAAGTACACAGCTGAGGGGAGCAGCGGGCGGCAGGAGAGGTCTGCGCACCATGTGGGACCCTCCTCCAGTGGCCGGGGAGCAGCCGGGGATCGAACCGGCGCCGCAGAGGCCGCGGGCAGCTTCGCAACCCAGCGCTCAACCGCTGCGCCACCGGGGAGGCCCCAATACTGGTAATTTTTTTGCATTTTGTTCTGAATCCACAAAGTTTTCTTGTTTTGGTGACCAGGATCTGCAGCAAGGTTGCAATTTTCTTTCCAGCAAACTAACTTGTGTTCACATTTTCTCTCCCCTTGATACCAACACAGCATAAAAATAGTGGTAGTAATCTTTTACTACTTATCTCAGAGTCTGTTTTTGCATAATTTCCATAGGGATTTTGTCTGCTTAAACTAAAAAATTGGACATAAGTTTCATTGTGTGGCTTTGAGTGGAGTTCTTCCAGAAAGTTGAAACAGAGCTGAACCAAGAAGAGGAGAACCTGTTTGCTTTGTTCGTAGGGTTCCAGAGACCTCCAAAGAAGGTGAGGAAGCTTGCCTCCATTGGCAGGACTGGACAACCTGGCCAACGAAAAGTCCCTGGTACCCTCGAGAAGAGGAAAGCCCGGGTGGAGTCTGACGAGACCAACTTTGTTCCTGTAGCCTAGATGGACCGGATGTCAACAGTTCGCTCTGATCCTGTATGATGCAACAAAGCCAGCTAAAATTGCTGCTTAGTTATTCTGCCCTGTGATTTTATGCAAAAATAGGTACTATGGTTGAAAAGTACATTTAGTTTGCAAACTTTTGCTATGCTGTTCAAAATTTGGGATCAAAGTTGAGAGAATTTGTTTTTACATAAGTTGAGCCATTTTAAGATTGTTTTTTTCCTGTGATTTTGATATATTTGCTGTCTTGTTCTGGCTAATGCCTCCAGATTTTTTTTTTTTTTTTGGCTTGGACCGAAGAATGGAGGACTTATTCCAGGAATGGAGGACTTTTGCTTTCCACAGTGGACAATACCCGGAGGGACTGGTTTTCTTTCACACTGGAACCCTGGAAAATTTTCATCTGAGATTACATCCCAGCATCCATATATTTGATATTCATCACCATGGAAATGGTTGCAAAAAGTGAAAGGGGGGAATTGTTAGGGGGAAAGGATGTCCTGAGCTAATTCCTTACAGGCTTTGTGGACTCCACCCCCACCCCAGTCCAAAGTCATCAGGACATTGGGAAAGACAAATCCCATCACCACAAAGAGAAGGTTGCTGGGACCTGAGGGTGGAGTTAAGCAGCCAGGTTAGGTACAAAAACCAAACACATGGGCCTTGGGGTCTCTCTCTCACTCGCCTCCTGGCTTCACGGCTGGTGGCTCGCGGCCAGCTCTCAGAGTGCCATTTGGGATTCCAGATCGGCGGATCGGATAGGATGCATTTAAAATTTTAACTCCCACTTTTCTCCCTGAGTTGTACATTTCCTCATTTGCCCTTCCCTTGTAAATAAACCTTTTATTAACCTTTTGTGTGTGCCTGCAGTAGAGTATTGAGAAATCCTTTTAAGCATGTGGGTGAGGACCCACAGTCAGACAACCCGTTTTGCCAGGGACCAGCCTCCAGCAAAATGTCATGTCAGGGGTTCCTGAAAGGATGAGACGGTGTCGGCGAAAACGAAAGGGCTGAGGGGAAGGGATGAGGTAGAATGAGGAGACACTGCACTTGGTGAGGTGCTAGTATCTTCTGCAGAGAGGCTCAGCAGGTTATTTATACATTTTTAGCAAGCAGTGAGATGACATTATCATGTGCGTAGAAACAGCAGAAAAAATCAGTGCATCCCTCTTTCCATAGACCTTTGGCCACCACGTGCTCTCAGCAAGAAGGCAACCTTCAAGATTAATAAAAAACTAAGCCTTACACTTAAACTCATTGTTTCAGCTAGACAGTTACCTAAGATAGTGGATAGCCGCCAGCACATCCCTATCAGCTAAAGCCTAAGCAAGAAAAGACTTTTCTTATTTGCATGGCCTTCAGCAGGGGACTGGCTGCTACTCAGCTATCAGAACATTTTTTACTTAGAAACTCCTAACTCAAATAGCTTCATTTAAAAACTTTTTCAAGAAACTTCAAGGGAAGGCAAAAGAAGGACCTACTATAATTACTGTATTGTAATGCTTGTCAGGCATGTTCAACAAACCATCTCCCATTGTCAAGTGGGCCAAACTGCCCAACAACTAATTTCTAAACAGACAATTTTCCGTGCCATTTACTGACAGTATGCTGATTGCTGATACATATAATTTATTGTCTAATATACTTTGTGACAAATTTTTTTCTTTCTATGTCCAAGAACAAAAAGCAAAGGGATGCCAGATCTTCAGCCCCACAGTATGAGGCCCTTTCTCTTTGCTGCTTGTCAGTATCCTACCTGGCTGGGGCAACAAGACCCCCTACAGCACCGTTTTGTATCTGGGCTGCCCTGTAACTCTTCTAGGCCCTGCTACATTTCCACCCACGGTCTTGGGTTTGGCAGCTGAGGACTGAAGAGGCCCGGACTCATCGACTCCGATAACCTTCGAGGAGCCCAGGGTAACGGTCAAGGTAGCAGGTGAGTCCATTTCCTTTCTGGTTGGCATGGGGGCTACCTTCTCTGTCCTCCCCTCCTAATCCGGTCAAGTTTATCCTTCTTAGGTCTCGGTTCCGGGTGCTGACGGCCTTCCTTCTCAGCCCAGGACCACTGGTCCGCCCTTTCCTAGTCATGCCTTCTTGCCCCATACCACTCCTGGGTCGCGATTTCCTGACCAAACTCGGGGCTGCTCATGGTTCCAAGACCCTAGCGCTGCTCTCATCCTCCCACTGCTCCAAACATCTGATCCTCCTCAAGGCTCCTTGCTGTCTCCTCCCACTGTCAACCCCCGGTTTGCCTTATCTCTATCCTGATTGTAGCCACCCATCGTACCCCAGTCCTCATTCACCTTAAGGATCCCTCTTCTTTTCCCTCTCGCCCCCAGTTTCCAATCTCCCTCACTCACCATCAGGATCTCAAACCATCATCCAACAACTCCTGGGAAAGGTAGTCCTTACTCCTACCAACTCGCCCTGTAATACTCCCATCCTCCCCGTTAAAAAAGCCTGACGGTTCTTATTGCCTAGTGCGAGACCTTCACCTCATTAACAAGGCAGTGGTGCCTATCCATCCCGGAGTGCCAACCCCTACACCTTCTATCTCATATACTGTTTTCTACCACACGCTTCTCTGTACTTGACCTCGAAAATGCCTTTTTTTTTTTACCATCCCTCTGGATCCTCAATGTTATTGTCTATTTGCTCTTACTTGGGAAGATCCGGACACACACACCTCCCAGCAACTGGCCTGGACAGTCCTGCCTCAGGGGTTCCGGGACAGCCCTCATTTGTTTGGTCAGACATGAGCTAGAGATCTCTCGTCATGTCATACTCCACCCCGCACTCTCCTTCAGTATGTTGCTGGCCTCCTCCTGTGCAGTCCTTCTCCGCACAATCTCAGCAACACACTGCGCAACCCCTCACCTTCCTGTGCTCAAAAGGATACCGCGTCTCCCCAACCAAAACCCAACTTTCAGTCCCCACAGCCGTCTATCTGGGTCTCGACTAACTCCTTCCTCCAAACAGCTGACAGTGGACCACAAACAGGCCATCTGGGGCCTTCCCTCCCCTGAATCGGGAGAACAAACCCTTTCTGATTCAGAAGAACCCTTTCGGATTCTTCCATCGTGGATCCCTAATTTTGCTTTCCTAGCCCAGCCACTGTACGGGGTAGCAAAAGCCTCCCCCAAAGGACGTCTCCAATCCCCCGGGGAGGTCCGCAGGGCCTTCCTTTTACTCACACATATCCTCCTTAGGGCACCTGCCCTTACCCTTCCTGACCCAGAAAAGCCTTTCCTCCTGTGCACAGACGCACGTTGGGGTATGGCGGCAGGCGGCCTTTCCCAGCCTCTGGGCCCAGCCCTGCGTCCTGTCGCTTCTCTCTCCAAGCAGATGGATCCCACCATCAGGGGCTGGCAACCTTGCCTTAGAGCCCTGGCGGCGGCAGCTCTACTCACCCGGGAACCCCTCAAACTTACCCTGGGAAGACTTGTCCAAGCACATTCCCCGCACCACCTTCAGGCCCTCCTGTCTCCCCGCCCGCTCTCCACTCTCACTCCTGCCCGCTCACAGGACTTCCACGTGCTTTTTATCGAAAACCCTCTGGCGAGTCTCACTCAGTCTAATTCTCTCAACCAGCCCCTCTTCTGCCTGTCTCTGGCCCCCCTTCTGTCGCCCATTCATGTCCTGAAATCCTGGGGAAAAAAATGCAAACCTCCAGACTGGGTTTAACTGACGCCCCTTTGTCAGATGCCTACTGTGTGTGCAGACTGGCGGCTCTTGCGTAAATACACGAGGTCAGGGGAGGGCTGCCTAGGCCATTGTTACCGTCAATCAGGTAATTGAGACAGGAAAGCTGCCCAGAGAAACCACCTTCCAAAAGGCAAAACTCATAGCATTTAACCAGGGCCCTGACCCTCAGCAACCATAAGAAAGTCAACATCTATACGGATTCAACATATGCCTTCCTTATGGCTCACAGTCACACTGCGATTTGGCAGGAAAGAGGGTTCCTCTCCACCAAGGGGTCCCCCATCATGAACGCTAAACTAATAAAGTTTTTAGCAGCCTTGCAGCTCACCAGCTGGGTGGACACTTACCCGGACAGGACTGGCAGGTTGATTTTACTCACCTCCCTACTCACAAAAAGGTTAAATATCTGCTAGCAATGATTAATACAATAACAGGTTGGGTCGAGGTCTTCCTGCAGCTAGAAAAACGGCTCAGGTAGTAACTGAGGCCCTTCTTAACCACATTATCCCACGCTTTGGCCTCCCCACCTCTCTCCAATCTCACAATGTTCCAGCTTTTTATCTCAAAGATTACTCAGCAGGTTTCCACGGCTCTGGGTATCACCTGGAAGCTTCACATTCCCCACCAACCACAATCCTCAGGGAAAGTGGGGCGCGCCAATGGGCTAATCAAGGATCACCTGACTAAACTCTTGTTAGAGCTCCGCAGCTGCTCTGGGAACACGCAGACTGATACTTCCCCCATCCTGCCTCGGATCCTGACCTCTTCAACTGACCTTCCCCACCACTGCATCCGGGAGACTAAGTCCGGCTCAGTTGCTTCAGCCAAAGCCACTGCAGCCTCCATGGGCTGGTCCGCACACGGTCATTCTCACCACGCCTACAGCGGTAACACTTCTGGGAGATCCCTCCTGGCACCATCTCTCGGGGGTCAAACGTGCCCCCGAAGACAAACAGTATACATGTCATAGCCTGGGTCCTACTAGGATGCGCATTTCTTGTCAAAATCTCCCCTAGCCCAGTGTCCTGTGTATGGAAATTCAAAGTTAGGGAGACCTTTGTCCCAGGGTCCACTGAGACTACCCACTTGGTGGGTACTGCGGAGTGCCCACAGGCCGGATGCACAGCACCCATCACTCTCACCCTAACTCTTTTGTCGATTACTAACCCTATGAACACCTTGTTTTGTTTCTTTTACCATCAAACCTTAAATCACTGCAAAAATACCTACAAGTAATATGGGGGGGTGCCCTTACCCGTCATGTACAGTGCACCTTCCAGACAAAGGCTGAATGTTCTCTCTGGTCTGTCATAATACGGGTTTCAATGTGAATCAAGTTAACTCTGCTATTTCAGATCCTTGGGACCAACGTTGGGTACAGAGAGTCCAAGCTGCAGTGTATTTCTACTGGCTGGCATTCCTACCCAGTGGCACATTGTTCCGTCTCAAGGGAATATGTCCTGACACAAAATGCCACAGTCCAAGTCTCCCAGGACATCCTCCATTCAGAGCAAGTCTTATAAAATCAGCTAACATCATCAGAAAATACCGAGACACCCTCAACCTGGATTCATATAATCCAAAATGTTATAACCTTCCTAAATAACTCTTTTGGGACTAATACCTCCTCTTGTTTCCTCTGCACTTCCCTTCAGAGGCCTCTACTGGCGGCAGCTCCAATTAATCTCAGTACCACTACAGCCAAGATAATGGGACGCTGCTTGCCAGACTCCCCAACTCTCAGTCCCCCTATGGGACTCCAATCACAGCTACTCCTGCCAGCAAACTGACGCCCTTGTCTGCTTTCATTCCTGTACTTCTAGCATTTCGGTTAAAGGATAGATACCTCCTTAGAAAAAACCTGTCTTTAGCCAATAGCAAAGATAGCTCCCCTCCCTGGCACAGGCCACTTTCCAAAACCAGGGGGACCTGTGAACAGCTGATAAGGGGGCACCTGCCTGTTCCTCAGGAAAGAATGTTGCTACTGTATCAGTGAGTCAGGAATTGTAGAACAAAATGTGGAAGCCTTCATGAAACTACGCAAAGACGTGGAAAGGGAAAGCGGGGTCTCCAACTCTCCGCTGACATGGTTTCAAAATCCTGTAGTGTCATGGCTCTTCCCACTCTTGGGGCCAATAACCTTGTTCTTTTTGCTTCTTGCCTCTAAAAATTCATACAGGCTTGCATTCGGGAAATGTCTCCTACCAACTTTAACCAAGTCTTCCACCCATATTCTCGCATCCCTGCAGAAGACCCTCATAACCAGGCCTGAGTCACCTCCTTGGTCTTTACCCCCTTCCAGCAGGAAGTAGCCAAAGAAAGAAACTTTGCCCTTTTTCCTATCAACAAAAGGCTGGTATGAAAGGTCCATGCCGGAGGCGGGAATGCAAAAACCCACCAGGAAGCCCACCTGGGAACAGGACTGTGGAAGCCTGCCTAGAGGATTCAGACAATGAACTTCTCCCCCACCCCCCCTCGCCCTACAAATCTTTTCTGTGCCCTACAAACCCAGTCTCCCACCTGACCTCTCCTCACCCTATAAAAGCCTGCTTCCCCCTGACAACTTAAGCAGCTTCATGGACCACCCCCCCCCTTGGGTCCCTGAGATCCACCTGGGGCACAATAAATTTTCCCTTCCTTTGAGAAATGTAGCCTGGCTCCCCTTTCCTTTATCGCGCCGGACCTTTCAACTACATGTTAAATAGATATAGTGCTGATTACACTGGGATCAAGTTATCAAAAATCACGTTTTACTTTTTACCACAGATCCCAAAAGAAAAATTAGTCCATACTGTAAGTTGTCAAGTTTATAGTGATAGGACTCAGTTTTCCATAATTTTGTTTTCTCTGGGAGTTTACATTTTATCCAGGCAACAACTGCCCTTGGTTGATTTTTAAAAGGGACAGACTCACGTTCATTTTCAGGAAAGTGTTGCCAATTCATCTAGTCTAAGTAACCATGGTTTTAGCCATTCATTCCTTCAATTAAAAATGATGTTGCCTAAAAGAAGAGGCGGATTCACTTCATACATTCCCCCCCAACCCCGGGACACGGCCCTTTGGACTGTAGCAGACGTGCCTTATGTGCACGTCCTTGTCATCGCTTCAGACCTTTAAAAAAATGTGGATTTCAGGATGATAAATACAAAATATGCTTTCATGATTTAACCAGGACATTTTGAAGTGAAATTAAAAATGGTGTGGGTTTTTTTTTCTGCAAGAAAGTGGTGGTGAAAAATAACTACAACTGCAGTTGGTACTATAATTTCCATTCTTACTAAGTTTTACCTTAGCAAATGTCAAAATAGTGAAAGGCAAATGGTACCTAAGTGATGTTATAAAAATAGTTTTGACCTCCTGGATCCTGTGAAAAGTTCTGGGTGACCTCAACGGTTCCACAGACCGACTTTGGCAATGCTTTTCTCAGTGAACCAGGGAGAGTCTCTTCTTTTGTCACTTACCAAGTGTCCTCTGCCTTTGTTCCTTATTGAGCTCCCAGAATCCATCTCCTTGGTTTGGATTTTCAATTTCCAAAGTTTTTCTTAGAGCTTTGCCCCTAGAATCCCTGGAAGAGCACTCATTCCTCAGAGATGATGAGAGAGTGCTCAGTCTGAGAAGGGAGGTGGAGAGACAGGTGCTTCCCTTTGGAACTGGGACAGTTTGTGTCTGGAGGCACCAGACCCACTGACAATCTTTTTCAATTTTATTTTTCACCTACTTAATATGTATTTCCATCCAGTGACCTCACCTCATCTTTAAGAAAGATAATATCAGCCCCTTGATTTTACATGTGTTTAATGCATCTGACTTGATGCTCCCAAAGCATGAAGAGCTGTGTTGTCCAACAGAAGGTTCAGGAAGAAAGAAATGTTCTATATATTCACTGACCAATATGGTGCCTCTAACTATTGAACACTTGAAATGTGGCTTATGAGCTGAGATGTTGCATATTTTACTATATAACATTTAAAATTAAAAAGCCATATGTGGCTAGTAGCTAACATATTGATGGTGCATATCTAGAATGTTCTTAACTTTCAGTATCTACCCCTCAATACTTTGTTGTATAATGAAATAGCATAATAAAATATAATGTACAATAAATTACCTTCATGTGGAAATCATGGATTTTTCTACATGGGTTTTAGGTATATCCTTAAAATATGGCATGTCCAAATAGTTTAATTAAATGTATTTTAACAACAGATGGAGAGGTGCAATCCCAAATCTGAATACAAACTCTGTCAAATCCATGGCTGATGACTAAACTGTGCTGTGGTGTGGGACACTCAAGAGAAACTGTCAGAAAACCAGAAAGAACTTAGAGGGCATTCTACCCTTGAGTGACAGACTCATCCTGATGCAATCTGTGAGTCTGCACTTATGACTGATGACTTCCCCAATCCACACAAGCTCAGAGAGCCAACAAAAATCTTACTGACTTGAGAAATCAAACATCAGATTTGGTGGCAGCATTTGGGTACACCAGGCACAAGGTAACCAACAAGTGAGTGAATGCCAACATCTGGGTAGACACTGTCCAAAACCTTGGTTGACCATTGAATCACACAGAGACCAGTCAAACCCTTCAAGACCCAGCATGAAAATGCAGCAAGTGGAGACTAAAGCAACAGAGCAGGGGCCCAGCTGTGCACACTGCAGGGGCAGATTTCACCTGGTTCTGGCAAATGTCCAACTTTTGTGGGGAAAAAAAGGAATCCCCAGAAAAACAGGAGTCCAGATGTGTTAAATCTTATATCTTTCATGTATTTAGAATTAAATCTGCTCTCTCCATGGTGCTTGTTTGAATAAAGCCTGACTACTCTCTACAAGGTACTGGCATGATTTTCTTTCTTTGACAAAAGGATATAAATATTTAGTGGCCAGATGATGGAGAGTAGAAGTTTTTCAAATCTCCACAGGTTTTTTAATACACTCAAGAGGTCAAGACCAATTCCCCTCCTGTGAGTCCCTGGACTTGCTGGTTCCCTGCTCATGGAGGAGGCTGGGGCGCCTGCACCACTTCACAGTGAGGCTCAAAAGGCATCGCGATCTCCTGCTTGATCTCTCTTGCTCCTCTCTGGGGGGAAGACATTTTCCGCGCTGGGTGGGCACTCAGATAAGGAGACGCTCACATGGTGAGGAACTGACGCTTTTTTCCAGCAGCCACATGCATGAGTCTCTATGCAGATCTTTCCGTGTCCACCAAGCCTTTTCTTCAGCATGACTTTGTGATTGCATAATGTGAGGCCCCGAGCTAGAACCACCACTGGGGCACAAGCCAGAGGTGTGGGGGGTGAGAGGATGCACCAGAGACAGAGTGGGGAACAGAACAGGCAGATTTACTGAAATACATTGCTGAGGGGAGCAACAGTCGCGTCAGGAGAGGTCTGGTGCACCATGTGGGTAGCTCCCTGGCTGGGGATCGAATTGGTGCTGCAGAGGCTGTGGAGAGCTTCATAGGTCATGTCTTAACCCCTGTGCCACCAGGGAGGCCCATAAATAAATAAATCTTAGACAACAACAAAAGAAGTATTGGAGAAAGAAGTTATGAGTGTGGAAGCCCTGGGCTTGGGTCCTAGATCTGTGTCATGCTAAATATGGGAATGTTGCCACTCTTGCCTGTAAAATGGGACTAATAGAGTCTTGGTTGTCTGCCTCACACAGGTGATAAGAGGATTAAGCTTAAACTTACAGTACTGTAGAAGTGAACTATATATTGCTTACAAGAGATGAAGTTTCAATATAAAGACACATTGAAGGTAAATTGAGGGAAAAAAGATAAGCTATGAAGATAGACATCATAAGGAGATTGGAGTGGTTCTACTAAAATCAGCCATAAAAAAAATTATAATAGAATTCATTGGCAGATATGGAGAGCTCCCTCATGATGATAAAATCTAATAGAGTGAGAAACTCCAGAGTGCACATAGAAAGGAGACATGGGTGCCTGACTGGGGTAGGGAGAGAGGATCAAATATAAAGGTGCAGCTATTGACAAGAGCTAAGATATGGAAACAACCTAAATGCCCAAAATCAGATGTCTGGATCAAGAAGATGTGCTATATATACACAAGGGAATACTACTTGGCGATCAAAAAAGATAAAGATGCCATTTGCAGTAACATAGATGGAGCTGGAAGGGATTATGCTCAGTGAAAAATAAGTCAGAAGGAAAAGGAAAAATATTGGATGGTTTCACTTGGAGGAGGAACATAAGGAAACCACACAAGGGATGGGGGGGAAAAGACAAAACTAGCAGCAAACTACACATTGGAGACATTCATCTGGGGAGAGGGAGGGAAAGGGATCAAAATGGGAGGGAAGCGCAGCAGAGTCTGTGGTGATGTTCCCGGGTGTCCTGGTGGAGGCACTTTCATGGGGACAACACCTGAGAGGGGAAATCAAACACTGTACAAAAATGAAGAACAATGTAAAAATATATAAATAAATTTCAAAAAACAATATAAAGGAGCAGGAGACATTTTAGGATGAGGGGGCTGTGCTGTCTGTGCTCTATGTCTGTGCTTCCAGGATTCTATTTATTTAGAATATTTATTTATCTATTTATTCTATTATTTATATTTACCTAACTGTCCATCTAAAATTGGTAAATTTTATTTCATGTAAAGATCTTAGGAAATAAAAGCAGGGAGAAAGAAGACAAAGTAAATACACTAGAATGAATTAAAAACAGAGAATTCATTGCTAGGAGTTGTGTCCCAAGGAATGTTAACGGATTTCTTCCAGGCCTCGGGAATGACAGTAGATGATAACTCACACATTACAGCAATAACTAGCAACAGAGACATGCAGAATACTTTTTTTGAGGCTTGTCTTAATTTATTGAACAGATATGATTGCTTAATTTTTTTGTTTTATGCTTTTATTTGGCTTGTGTTTATTTTGGTTTAACATATATATTACATAAATAACATCACGGTGGTTAAACAGAACTATATTGCTGTAAATTTCCTATATGTTATGGGATGTAGTTCCATTAAGTAGATATTGAAAAAATAAAAGATAGATTTAAGTATTTACAACAATAAAAAGTACTGAAATAAATATATCTAAAGCACATGAAGAGTTAATTTCACAGAAAAATATTTCCTTGAATCAAAGAAAGGTAGAAAATGATGAAATGGAATGAAAAAGATGCGAGATAATGAAAAAAATAAATATCAAAACGATAGACAAATCTAACCATCATACACCGGATCGTCTCTCTAATAGCAGGAATTTAGAAAATCTAAATAAGGGGCCAGGAAAAAGACTAATTATAATATAGTAAAAATCAAAACCAACAAGCAACTATAAACCAGAGACACACTGTGGGGCGGGGGCGTGAGGAGAGGAGGGATTGGGGTCAAAAAAAGGGGGGCGGGAATTGTACGGGGAATATAACCAAGATGAAAATGCACACATTGTGCAAAAATGAAAAATGATGTAAAAAATAGATAAAATAAAATAATAATAAAAAATAAAGAAATTAGGCACTGCCGGCGCAGCTTATTGGCCTGAGAGGCTTGGGTCCGGCAGAGTCCAGACCCCGCCAGGAGGGCGCGCGCGATGCGGCTGGGCTCAGGGACCTTCGCGGCTGGCCTCGTAGTGATCAAGGTGCTGGGGTCGCGCTGG